GCCATTCAAAGACCAAATCAGAAGTGGACGGTCCAAGTGGGGTGGTTGAAGTGGGTTAAATAGATAAAAAAAAATTTTTTTGCGGCCGCCGGTAGACCGAACTATAATTTCTGAAGTGACGGACAGTATGAATAGTGGAAAATACGGAACGGTCGAAGTTCTCAAATTTTAATGTCGGGTGGAATCAGTGATGGGAAAGATAATAGGGCTGTTAATGTGGCACAAACGTATGGCATGTTGAGGAGTTATGTGAAGAATATGTAAAAGTTGGTATGCCTGTAATTCATTCCTTAGCTGTGAACAGAGATAGTATAAGGTACGGTTAGGGGTGCGGGTCATCAGTACAACCCCCCCCCCACCCCCCCAACCTACAACTCCTGGAGCATTCATGCATTTTTCAGTCCCATATAGTAACAAGATCTTTAGCAATAACAGCATCCACTACTTTAGGGTTCAATATTTGCACTCATCTTCGCTTCTTCCACATGTTCAGAGAAAGTTGCCATCAGCTGAGAAGGCAATACTGCGCTGCGGGACTTCGTGAAATTCCAGCTTTTCAGCATGTATGATTACGGTAGATTGATTACATACACGGATACATTATCTCTCGGAAACAAAAGTTTTGCACTCATTAATGATGTAAAATAAAAAGAAAAAAACATCTTTGTGTCACAAAAAAAAAAAATACCGGGGAACTTACAGCCGCTCTTCGTTACGTTTGGCCCACACAGAGTTTGCGCAACAGGAGAAACAGCAGAGTGGTCGAAAAAGGAGTTTAAATTCGACAAAACCGCATCAGATAAATTCGTTGCACTGTTGTCCAGTATACCAAAAGCACAGCTATCGCCCGAAGAAGCCTAGCGAAAAGCGAAATATCATATAAGAAATTAATGACGGAGTCATTCTGATCAAAAAAAAACCTCCAAACAATAAAGTTTTTCCAATGCCAGGTAACTAGAAAAGTTCACTGCACAAGACTATCCCTTATTTTGAAGCCATAAACACCAGTCTTATACCAAATAAAAATAACATCAGTCTAACCCCAAAAAAAAAACTGCAATTTTACCAAATGATGCTGTGAAACTAATGCTAAGGAAATATAATAACAAGCG